CAGTGAGCAGGGAAGGTTGCAGCAGACAGTGAGCAGGGAAGGTTGCAGCAGACAGTGAGCAGGCTGGGTCTGGGAGTGGACCAGGAAAGGAAGAAGAAAGCCCAGTTGGGATAGGGGAGGCGGGGGACGTCCAGGTCCCAGTCAAGCCTGGAGTCTGGGCTTGACTGTACAGCTTTGAGGGACACGCTGGGGGGCTGGGGAGGACATCTGTGGGGCTGTCCACTCTGTGCCATCCAAGCCTCTCAGCCTTAAGACAGTTGCCTCTGGTGCTGAGGGGTTGCAGGAGGTTCTGCCTGGACCCGCCCTCTAGGGTCAGGGGTCGGCTGCAGAGGGGCCTTAGCAGAGGAAGAGTGAAGGACAGAGCACAAGTGCGGACCAGGCTGCACAGTGATTTGACTGCTGTTGAGGGTGCACAGTGGACTACTCACGTCCTTTTACTCCTTCCCTTTTGTGACCCTGATGATACCCTGACCCCTCTCTGAGCGGCTCCTCCCCCATCAGCGTCAGCTCATGGCCCTGAGCTCCATCTCAACGCCTGTCACCATGTTGTGCTGTCAATCTGACCCCATCTGGATCTTAAAACATCGCTAATACTTCTATGCAGACAGTTTTTCACTCGTTACGCTAAACGACCCTGGTTTTAGAAGACTTGGGGGACATTTCCTCAGGACATCCACCACCAAGTCTAGAATCCATGTTGCGGTGGGTGGTGCCGTCAAGTCAGGGGGCCAATGTACGCAGCACGAAACGCTGCTGGCCCTGCATCTGTGCTCGAGCTCATGGCTGCAGCCACGGTGTCAGCCCACCTGCGGGAGGGGGGGGTTGCTGTCTCCCTCGTCCTCCTGGTCTACACAAGTAGGAGGTGCTGCTGCCGTCTCTCAAATCTCTCCCACCAAGAATGCGGCCACGATGGGCAGCTCCGGCACCTCAAGTTATGTTCTTTAGGAATGCTCTTTGGCCTTTGGGAACAGACATCTGGAGAAGGCACTCGGGGCTGGAGGCTGGATGGGGCACGGACCCCACCGCAGCCCTCCTCGGACCCTGGCCACCCTCACAGGATGCACGGTCGTGATGGAATCGTGCAGCACAGCTTGCCTGGCCCTTTTCTAACCCATGCGGTTTTCACTTAAATCCGTATAAGCTCCTATGATTGTCCTGTCTCCTTTGAGGAAGCCTATCAAGAACACCCTTTTGTAAAGCCCCTCTGACCTCAGTCAAGGGATGCGAATAGCCTCATTATCAGACAGAGAACATTGTAGAGACGAAGGTGGTACATACAGATTTTATGTCAGCTAGATACTCCTGGCTGGAGTGGAGTCAAACCTGTCAATGAGGTCACAGCCTGATGCTGTCTCTTGGGGCCAGGGGTGGGGCTGGTGGTGCTTCTCATAAGGACCCTGGGAACCACCTCCTCTCTGCCCCTTTGCCTTCCTGCCTGCTGGGACTGGGTCACTGACCCTGAGAATTTTGGAGCCCTTCCACGTTTCCACTGACTGTGGATCCTCAGGACTCTACACCCGCCAGCCTGTGCTCTCCCTGCATTCTTCATCATTGCATGTGTCTGCATGAGTCTGAAGAGGGACTCGTGGACTTGTGCTGGACGTATGGGCAACTTGGTCTGGGTGGGGCACTTTCTTGATATAGAATCACTTACAAAGCTTGTTCTTAAACATAGATGACTGTCACTGGTCTGGTCAACTGGCCTGACACACTATCCATAGTTTGTTATGGTCCACACAGCAGAACTCCTTTGCATACTCAACGAAACACGAATAAATGTCTTCCTGGTGTTCCTGTTTCTGTTAGGTAGCTCAATTTAGGGACAGAAGGGTTGTCCCTCCCATGCCTGCAAAGTTCACCCCATAAAGGAGCTTGGGAAGAAATCAGGCAACCATTAGACACCTATGAAGACACCAAACTGAGCATGCTCATACTCAAGCCCCCGAGCCAGGTGGGAGGTACACCTTGGCAGTTCAAATGAGGCCCAGGCTCATGACATCACCTAGGTGGGCTCAACCCAGCCAATCGGGACAACCAATACCTCAACCCCGCCTTCCCCCAGTTGGGTGGGCTAGAATAAAGGCAGGGAGCATGCTCTAGGATGCTCTCTAACTCTCTCTTACCCTACTCCTGGTAAGTGGTGGGTCAGAGGGTGGGGGTGCACATGCGTCACCTGTGCATGCCCCCTCAAGGCCCACCCTAGACCTGCTTGGGGCCCACATGCACCCACTCTGGGTCTACCTCGGGGCCCACAACCTCTCTTGCCCCTGCGCACTCCTGTCTCTTGCTCCCTGGACCCCTCTGTCCCTGGGACACCCCGACCCCAGTTCCACACGTGTGGGTGCTCCTTTCCACGAGATTGCTCGTGCCCAGTTGTGGACCCCTTTGAGACTGTAAAACCTGAAAGCCGTCTTTCATAAAAACCCATTTGGATTACAAAACAGGCTTCTGCGTGAATTCTTTCATCGTGTGAAGCCAAGAACCGAGGTCTTACCCACTCGAGAAACCTAACACTTGCATTCAAGATCCATCTGACACCCACAATGATGTCCCTTGTTCCACGTCCTCTTCTGACTCTGGCCTGAATTTATGGCAGTGTTAGATTTCTCTGGTGGGAAATACCTTGGTTCTTGGCTTCATGTGAGAAAGAATTCATGCCGAAGCCTGGTTTGTGATCCAAGTGGGTTTTTCTAGAGGATAGAAGTTTCAGGCTTTACAGTCACTGAACACAGGCGTCCTCATGGGACTGCACACCCACATGTGGTAGCCTGAGGCAAGAGAGACCGTGGCACAGCCGAGCAGAGAGTGGAGGAGCAACTGAAGGGAAAGGGGGCAGTGGTCTCCAGGGTCTGACCTTTAAGACCTTCGATGGGAGACATGGTCGACGGTACTGGTTGACCCCATTGGCTGAATTAAGCTCATCTGGCCTAGTTTGGGCCAATCCAGGTGTACCACACACCTGGCTCAGGGTTGAATTGACACATGCCCCTTAGCTTTCATTGGCTTCCAACCTCCTGTAGGGGGCCTTTAGGCACGGAGAGGAACAACCCCCTATCCTGCTACCTAACAGCAGCTCCCTGTCAATGTGCTGTGGGAAACTGAAGACCTGGATGTAAGTGTAAGCAGTCTAACCTTTACACTGGTGACCACAGGGCTGGGAAGACTGACGGTTGTGTTAGAGCAGTGGTTCTCAACCTTACTAATGACACGACCCTTTAATACAGTTCCTCATGTTGCTACTTCATAACTAATTTTGCTACTGTTATGAATTGTAATGTAAATATCTGATATGCCGGATATATTTTCATTGTTACAAACTGAACATAATTAAAGCATAGAGATTATTCACAAAACAATGTGTAATTATATATTGTGAAATATTTCTTTCTAATTACAAATAGATGAAATTTTGTCTTGAAGCATGGTGTAGCATGGGTAATAGTCTTAATATAACAACGGTAAACTACATTGCTACATTTTGTGACAGTATGCGTAAAAAGCCAATGTCAGTGTGAAGGCTGAGATAGCTTCTCTCTCACCAGATCAGAAATTCTCGGGGCAGTTTTTGCAAGAGCACAACAGAGATCATCTTCCACAATAAGTCTGCTTCTGTATTTAGACTTAATAACCAACAAGCTGGAAAACCCTATTTCACAAAGATATGTTGTTGGAAATGGAAGAAGAAGGCGCAACTCGGTCTCAGAACAGGATATGACTGCAAACACTTGATCCAGAATTTGTAACTAGCATTGCAGAGAAATCAGTTCTCACTGCACATCACTGTTAACAATGAATTCAATGAACTCCTCTTGTGCTGTCTCAGGAACATCTTCAACTCTGACTGTGAAGGGGCTTCTAGAAAGTGCAAATGAAGCGTCAGGTAGATTTGGAAAGAACGATGAGATTTCGTCTGCAAGCATGTGCAAGTGTTCTTTCACAGAAATTATCATCATAATCCTTTTGTCCGGTTCAATGTCATGTTCCCAAAGAAAGCAGATAAGGTAGGCAACATGTAAATTTTATTTTCATCCTTTTTTTTTTTTTTGCCAAAGGTGCAGTTTCATTTGTAATGATCAGATCTTTTCAGACAAATCGAGGCATGTTGCATTTCATCTTTGCAGTGAGAAATTTAA